TGAACCGTCCTCGGCTCCTCCTTCTCCGGACTTTCGTTGGCAACAAAGTCCAACAGCAATCTTTTGTTGCCAACGAGGGTTCAACAGCCAGACTCTTTGGCGACGAGGGTTCAGCAGCAAGCCCTCGTTGCTAACAAGTTGAACCGTCCTCCTCTTTCTTCTCCTCGGGATAGTCGACAGTCCTCCTGACTATTCCGTCGGACAAGATGGTCTCTCCACCAGACCGACAACCGCCCTCTTCTTCTTCCGGCCGGGGCATCAACCTCCCCAACATTGCCTCGCTCGACCTCGGCGGGGCGGAAGAGGGTTTCCCACCTCGAGGGGACGTGGCGGGGCAGAGAGGGTCGGAGACCCAACTCACAAGCTCTGCTACACGTTCGGTCGTGCTACGACCGCGGGCGGCGTCTGCCCACCCGCCTAGTACGCCGGCCTCGGGTGTGGTCCCTCGGGGCCAGGATCCATGGGGACCTGGCTCTGCTCCCTTTGCTTGGGACGGAACCCTCCCTGGGGGGCAGTCTGGTCCTTCTTCTTGGGGCGGTACGCCAACCCCCCAAAACACTTTTGGGCTGCGAGATGCTGGATCAATCTCGCAGACCCATGGTGGTCTTTCCTGGGGTGGTTTACCGACGCCCCAAAACAACTTTGGGATGCGAGATGCTGGATCAATCTCGCAGACCCATGGTGGTCCTGCCTGGGGTGGTCTGCCGACCCCCCAAAACATTCCGGGCCCGTCTCGAGGCGGACCGACTCCTCGACAACCGTCCGGTCCTTCTCCGAGCCCGCCGGGACCGCGTCGACGCCCGGCCGGTCCGTCTCGAGGCTCTTCGGTCCCTCGACACCTGGCTCCCGGCCCCCCCCGACCGGGTCCTGCGGGCGAGGAACGAGAGGTCGGCGAGGTCGGCACGGAACAACAAACCCCCGCCCCCCGGACCCGCCGAGAGGATGTGGCGGGCGGCGCATTCGGGCGAGTGGATGCGGATGGACGAGGAGCGGGAGAGGCGGGAGAGGGAGGCGAGGATAGCGCTGATCATTCGCTGCGCCGAGGAGCAGGGGTCGGCGAGGAGGAGGACGACGACGACGAGAAGCCAGCCGTCGTCGTCGTCGACCACCGCCTCCGTCGACGCCGCCGCCTCCTCCTCCTCTGCCTCTGCTGCTGCCGCCTCTGCCTCTGCCTCTGGCTCCTCTGTCACCTCTCCCCCTCACCTTGCCTCTTTTGAGGCTTACGAGGAATTGTTGGCGAGCGGGATCGTGGCAGATGACGACGAGCAGGAGGATGAGGGTCTCCCCGAGGAATGGCGAATGGCCCGTTTGATCCCTGACAGAGCTCCGTCACCCGATCGTCAACGGGTGCGGGTTTACAGACCTATCATGGTCCGGCGTGAACCTGGTCCACGACGTGGTGGTAGTGGTGGTTACCAACCATCCAGCTCGTCTCCCTCGGCCCCTGAGGAGTAGTTGGTCTTTTTGTTTCGGTTCTCCTTGCTGCAGTACACGATCAGCAGCATCATCATCTTCGGTCTTTGTTTTTTGGTTCGTTGGCCCCTCGCCGGCGGGGGGGTTTACATGTCGTCGTCACCCAGACAGCCGGTGGTGATTACGACTACGACGTTACGAATCCAAACCAAAACTTTGTCTGTCTGGTCCAGGTGGTGATGATGACGATGAGGGAGGTGGGGGGATCGCAAGGGGTTGTCGTGGCCTCTTTGTGAACTACACCACACTCCTTTCATCACCACCAGTACACGAAGTGACCAGGGGGATTGAGAGTTGTTTGGTTTGTACACTTGTATGATTATGGATAACGTCTAATGAATTTTGTACATGGTAGATAGTTGTACTTTTAGTTTTGTGCTGTGATGTCAAATAGCTGAATGTGCCGAGTTTCTTCCTGTGGTATTATTATTATTATTATTGTGTGTGTGTGTGTGTGTGTGTGTGTGTGTGTGTTTATTGATTGCTGTTTTTTGAGGGTGATTTGGTCATTCCTAATAGCAGCGTAGGTCAGAAATAATCCTAGAGTTTTACCCCTCACTTCACCCCTCATTTCACCAAGGGTAATAATAATCCTTTACAGCATAGGAGTAATGAACCCTCTGTCACCCCTTCTCTGTCATCCCTCTGGTCTCATCCCCAGGTCTAAACTCCCCCTTAGAGCCCCAACCAAGTTTCCCTCCCACAGCCACAGATCTTCCTCTTCTCATCCTTTTCAAACCCTTTTCTCTACCATGAATAATCCTTGGCAATAATTTACAATGACTCATCCCACCAACCTTCGTTTTTGATTGGTCAATAATGTCAATCATCCTAACTATTTTGCATTTTCTCGTCATTCATCCAAACTATCTAGAGTTTACTGGTCATTCATCCAAACTATCTAGAGTTTACTGGTCATTCATCCAAACTATCTAGAGTTTACTGGTCATTCATCCAAACTATCTCGAGGTTGCACTCGACACATCCTAGATAGTTTGGACTCGCAATTATTATTTTCGCAACCAACTCTCGAGATGAATTGCAGTTGCAACCACCACATTTCAAAATAGTTACGATTTAGTCTGTACAATGATTATTCTTTCGCAACACACTCAAAAATACCATTTTCATCTTCCAAAAGAATTTGTAATTGATTTGATTGCGTAAAACACTGACTGACTGACACACATTCAAGATACTCGATTCACACTCAAGATACTCTCGTTTCGAAAAGGATTCGTAATTGATCATTGCGCAAAACACTGACTGACTGACACACATTCAAGATACTCGATACTTGATTTGAAAAGGACTTTGCACTCATCACAACATCCGAATGACTCATTCCAAAAGCGTCAATCTTGGGATGCCTAGTTGTTGTTTGGTTGTTTTTGTTGTTGTTATTGCTGCTGTTGTTGTCATCGCTATTACACTGATTCGATCCTCTTCATGAGTGCCTCGACCTGCGCGCAAAGACACAAACACACACACACACACAACAGCAACAGCAAGCAACACTGCGATATGGCCACATGACACTGCGACACTGCGGTCTCTCAAATACCATACT